AGTTTAAGCTTACTGTAAATACAGTATCTATTCTGCATATCCTGTACTCAATCCGATATTCTGTTTCGTGAAGCGTTTGAAACAATTATCCAACACTTTCTAGGTTGAAGGGGAAGATCTAATGGAGAATATTGGTGCTAAATTGGTTAGGCAAACTACTTGAAAGACAAATGACTTAGTTGGTGATGGGACAAGTACAACTACATCTGTTGTAGGGATGGCAACGGGACGAGGCAGGGGGGCCTCCCCTCCCTCCGCCCCGCTAAGAAATTCTCCGTCCCACCTTACCCCATCCCATCCCCGCCCCACCCCGTTGACTACTTGTTTAATTTTTTTTAATAGTTTTTGATAATTTAATTTTATTCCCCATATTCATTAGATTTAAACAAATAATTTTAGTTGCGATTTTCTATTAGAACTAATAAAAATTTGTGAAAATTTTCATTTAAAGTATTGAATTCTAAAAAAAAAAATTTAACGGGGTGGGGCGAGGCGCCCGTTCCCCATCCCCGCCCCGAATACCCGATTAAGGGGGTTATCCCGTCAGGTATCAGGTTTGTCGCATTTTTTTGCCATTCATAATCTGTTGTACTTGCACAGAGTATCATTGCTGAAAGTGTTAAGGTTGTGCATATTAAGGACACTCTATTGTAAATATTTAATACACTATTTTCGAGTTTTGACTTTTTTGGTGTTGATTTGTTTAAATCATGGCAGCGGGTGCCAATCTTATTTAGGGCCTGTTTGAGCCGGATTAAAATCTGATTTAATCCGATTTGACTTTGACTTGGATTATTTTAGTTCAAGTCAAAGTCAAACAATCAATATTAACCACATCTTTCATGGGTCTTACATCTTTTCAACCACACATTTCAAAAACTTCTATCACAATCCACTAAAAATCTAATTTTAATCCCCACCAAACAGCCCCTCAGATTACAAGGGGTATTGAGAGGACATCTTAAACCCTGGTGTTCGAGCTCAAGTCAATGTCAAAAGAGGTAAACTTGAATCTTCTATCTGCTTATCTTACTGTACAAATTAAAAATTCTTGTTTTATCTGTATTTAGCCCCTTGAGCAAGGCAACTATCATTGGGCATTTATTTTTTCTGTCAATGGTATTTTAAGATCATTCCGGTGGGACTCCCCTTAATTTTGCAGGTCAATGCAGTGAGCTAGCCAACGTAGCTGCAATTAGTGTCGAAAATAATTATGAAGTGGGAAATATGATTGCAGAAACTACGAGTAAAGTAGGTTGGAAAGTTGTGGTGACTCTTGAAGAAGGGAGAATTGAGAACAATTTGTATGATGCCGAAGGCATGCAATTCGACCGTCGTTATATTTCTTCGTACTTGGTCACATGTAGTGAGAAGATGGCTGTCGAATATGAACATTACAAGGTATTTACAATATCTTCGAGATTATCTCATTTCTATTATAGATGTTGGATCCAGGATAATGACTTACTTATATTTCAAATGAAAAATGCTCTTTATGCAGCTTCTTCGGGTTGACAAAAAGATATTAAATGCCAGGGATTTAGTTAGTATCTTAGAAGATACTATCATAGGAGGATATCCAATATTAATAATTGTAGAAGACATTGAGCAGGAAGCTCTTACAACCCTCGTTGTGAATAAGCTAAGAGGATATTTGAAAATTGCTGTACTGAAAGCCCCTGCATTTGGAAAGCTCAAAAGCCAATACCTTGATGACATTCCTATTCTCACTGGAGGTTGTCTATCATCTATTGATTGTAATTATGTTCTATGTGTCAAATATGTAAGTTAACCTTGCTGTAACATATTCTTAGAAATGGATTCAGGTACCGTTATTAAGTAAGGAAGTCAGTTTATCCCCGCATACAGCTAGAAGTGAGGTATTGGGACTTGCTACAAAAGTAGTACTAATCAAGGATACAACAACAATTGTTGGTGATGGAAGCACACAAGAGGCAGCAAACAAAAGAGTTGCCACGTCACGCCTCGTCCCAAACTCCTTACTAGACTATACTTCGATTGTACGACCTCCTTTGACCAATAAAAACCCCTTTCTTAAAAAAAAAAAATTTGACGGAGTCTCTTTTAAAAATGGAACCATACTCAATCCTGCAACCATAAAAATTTCCCAAACACCAATACATAAACACCATAATATCAGTCACACATCCACCCAAAATATCTACATCACTAGCAACATGACTGCTTCTCAAAAAGATAATAATGATGCAGTTTAGTTTACAATATTCCATCGTGACCAATGGTACGTTTAAATACAAAAATCCCCCAAATA